CATCAACACTGACATTCCTCTCTGAAGCCAAGAGTCAACTGGGAATGTCAAGAAAAGGGCACGCACAGAGTAAATGCTCCTTATTGTGTTCAGATCAGTCCTTTCGTGCTGAGCTGAACACCGTGACATGTGATAATAAAGCAGCACTAAGCTGAATCCTTAGCCATGTAAAGGACAAGTGCTTCCATTACTTACAAATGGCACATTGGACATTTATGCTGCCGCAGAGAAGATGGCAAGTCCCCATGTTTTTTCCCTCTCTCTCTCTCCCTCTCTCCCCCTCCCTCTCTCCCTCTCTCCCTCTCCCCCCCCCCCCCCCCCCCCCAATCTCAGTCAAAAAGCTTTTCCATGTAGTGGCACAATTGTCGCAGCTCGAAGAGTCCCTCAGAGGAGGAGGTGAGTTTATCCGTCTGATAAAAGTGCCCTTCTGGCCCACCTATATTTACGTTCAGAGCTCCTTGCTCCCCTGATGCTGCTCCCGGACGACATCAAACCCAGACGGCGGTCAAGACAGAAGCTGACTCTTTCACCCTGTCGTCCAATCGGACTTCCTCCACATGTTGACCCCGGTAATCCTAGACAACTCTGAATCTGTCGCACTTTTCGTTTGTCAGCTGGCAATGATGACCGAGAGGTGACTTCGGATGAGACCTTTTGAACATTGTTGAACCTGTAATGATTCAGGGTGGGACAAAAAAAAAAACCTCCTCCTCGTTGTATCTCTAATCTTTCTCCAAGAACTCACACCACACACCCGGCCAATAGCCGAACAGATTCAGCCTCACAAAACATCACGTTTAGACCTTTTCCTTCAGGATCAAAAGGATCTTGCTTGTTTTTGTTCTCTGCACAATCATGGTTACAATGCAAACAGGAACTGCTAGTAGCTAATGTAGCATAACTGTCCATGGTGCATAGGACTCAGGTGTAGCTTACAGCTAACTGGCTGACTCAATGGCAACAGTATACTTCATGTTTACATCACCCAAAGCATGATGGGAACCTCAGTGTAAAGAACTCAAAACATATTCATCTCAAATATAAATAGGAAAATTAACATTTTAATTTAATCTATTTTAGTATAAGGTCCCATCAATATGGTTATTGTATTCCTGGAACACTGACACTACTGGTATAGTACCACTCACATGCCAAATTATGTCATTTCTAAGTAGCCCTACTCATCCTGAGACATGTAGAGACTGCGTCAGAATCCTTAAAATAAAGGGAGTTTAAACCAAGCAAAAACTCAAGTTAACCAACAATAATAAACAGTGACAACTCCGTCTGACTTTAACATCCCCGACTCTGTTCAACCTGTGACTGTGATTGGGGTTGGGGGGCAAAGAGTGCAAACTGAATAGTGCCACAGGGCAGCTCTGCGCTTCCATTAATAGAAAACCTTTCTCTGGCCAGAATAATAGCTTCGCGACATTCCAGGCCCCCCGTTGAACCCCTAGAACCGAGCACACGTGGGCTAAATGTCACTCAGCAGGATCCCACCATTTAAGATAAATCACATTTTCGCCCAGAATACTCCAACCTCAGACCCGCTCCATCACACACTCCCCATCTTATCATTTATTGACAATTACATTCTCGAGGGAAAAGAGCGACTGAACAGGAAATAGATGCGTGACATTACAGGAGACCTGCTGAGTTCATAGGCACAGGCACAAGCTGCAGCCACCTGTTCAGCCCGCAAAGCGAGTTTTATTTGTTTTGACGAGAGCAAACAGTGATATGATGACATTCTTGATGAATAGGGCGACAATCTTGTATGATGCAAAAGTAACTGCTGGGGGTGGGGAAATGCAATAATGCATAAAGTGACAGATGGGATCCCTGCGTGTCCCCAATCTGGGGGAAACCATGTCCCTACATACAGCATGCTGCTGATCTGAAATTAGAGGATGCACACGAGTTGCTTTTTCTGTTTTATGCGAGTGCAGGAGGAGCGGAGCACTGATGTCCAGGAGATAAACCTTACAGACGTAAAGGTCATCGGCAAGTGTCCTCCCCGCTAATCAAATAGCCCTGAAGGCGAGGTTTGATTTTATACAATCTGCTGAGATGCGAGGCCAGCCGGGCAAATGAACAACGGGCCTCTGGGCCTTCCACAGTTCAGCCTGTACCTGTTTATCACTCAACATCCACAGTGAGAGGTAAACGGCTCAATGTGGAGCGAGGATCGTGGTTGAAACGTGCCATGCTGCAATTGCTGAGGCTAATACCTCAAATTTCAGATTACAAGAAGAGAGATAAATTAATTTCATGTAATATGATAAAAACATAAATCTCCTACGAAGAAGCTATCTGAGGCCTGTGTCGGGCACTTTAAACATTTACCAGCTTCTCAACCTTTGTTGTTTATTTGGATCCCCATTAGTTGTTACCAGGGTAACAGCTTCTCTTCCTGGGGTCGATGCTAATTGAACAGAAACATTAATCAGAAATTCAGGATTCATGACTATATTTTGAATTTCAGTTTGTTTGTTTTTCGACTGGTGATAACGCACCTTTGATATAAAAGCATCTTAAAACTAAGTTTCTTGTTGCTCGTTTGTCTCATTCATTAGCGTTTCCTTTTCTCCCTTAAGATACCATTCTGAACTGAGAAGAGATAGATAAGTAATGGAGTCTGCAGAGACATCAACCAATGTCTGCTTGACTGATCCATAACCTACATCCCAATTGCAAATGATTGCAGGCATCCTGGAGTTGAGCTTCCTTTTTTGCATAATCCATGACTGAATTGTCTTTAAGGCTTAAGATTTATTCTCTCCTTGACTGCATCCACATCTACTCTTAAGAATGTAAGCAGGTTTAATTGGTAAAATGAATTAGAGGACATGCATTTCGCTTGGATTCACCTGCACCAAGTACATCAGGGAGAAGAACTGAGATTCGTTGGAGTTTTCCACTCCCAGAGTACCTGGGTATGAATAAAAAACAGTCACTTCAGCCTCTACTGTGCTTTACTAACGAAGGCTGCAAGTTTAAAAAAGGCACAATAAAACCCTGAAGTAAAAAGCTGTTTCAGGATATTTCAAGAGCAAACAGACCGTTTGCCAAAACTATGTTTTTAAAGAGAACAACAACGTGGGTGAGGATGTGGGAATAGCAGCTCAACAAACACACACAGATAGATGTATAAAACAAGAAACACACACACACACACACACACAGACACACTCTGCATTTCACTTTGGTCAACCCATGCTCTTACTCTGGTAAAGGTCCCTCTCCGATGGCCTGGAAATAGGCTTTAATGTGCCCCCTGAACAGGCTGACATAGAAAACACACATCTGCCGTGTTTAGGTAAGCTGCAGTTGCCATGGTTACAGACGAGAGCTCGCTGAACAGTTGTGTGTCACGCCATCATTGAGACAGGGCACTTGAGCTGCGCGCGCACGCACGCACACACGCACACACGCACACATAAATTGAGGGGGGCGTTGGTGGTTCAAAGTGGAAAAACAAGGAAACGCAGGATGGCAGTCGAGCTAATGTCACGCTTCTGTTAGCAATACGTTGCCGTCACCATTAACCGTCACTAGCGTCTGAGCTCAGGACAGACTGAGAGACGATGCCGTGGGGAAAACCTGAGTTCAGCCTGAGTCATCAGAGTTTCATGTGACATTTGGAGGAAGATGAAGGAAATGTGCTGTTTTTAGCCCAAACAGAGCAAAAAAAGGCTTTTATTCCGCTCTCGGTATTAATCACCTCCTTGCAGAAGCTCACGGCTACACACAACATCTCAAAACAACAACATATGTTACACTTCACTCTGTTTTAAAAACATACACCAAAAGTAGGAACATTATCAAACAAACGTGATGCACATTTTATGAGTAAAGCACTTGACATGAAGTGCTTGTCACAGTGAGAGACCTTTTAAATTAATCATTTTTGTTTACAACTACAGCCCACCCCCGACACACACACACACACACACACACACACACACACACACACACACACACTTTTTGTCCCACAAACATGAACAAAGTAGTTAGTTAATATTCCACATCAAACCATTATGCTTGAGTGTGGCTGCCCACCCAGCATTCATGATTAACAACCTGCATGTAGTGAGCCAACTGGAGATGCTGCGCCACATATAGTGGGGTGGGTGAAAGTGGGATCAGCCCCGAGCACTGCGGCAAGCCTTGGCATGGTGCTCCCACTCATGCCATTTCATTTCATCACTCCTCAATCCTACTGTTGCATTGCCAAGCACTTACATCCAAATCATCAAACACTCTCGTAAAATAAAAAGAAGAAGAAAAGATGCAGCAGAATCTCTATCATACCGAAAGTGTCCTTGACTAGATGACGTCCCACCGGGTGGGACAGGTTACAGCGAAAAAAAGGACGTGATAAGGATCTCATAACATGTTGTCCAAGAGGCACGAGTTCTCCACATGACACTGTCAACAGACACGCCAGGCACCATGGCAACGACTTCGGCTGACCGAATGCAATTGGTAAACTGTACATGTCCCTCCCTCCTTCTGTCCCTCTGGATCTGTTTCTCTCTGCTATCTGAGGGCATTATGTATGTATGACCTTAATTCACTCTTTAAATCTCCCCTCTTTTTTTCCCTGGCTTTGTTTTGATGGTCTGAGAGATAAGCTACCACGACATGCACTTCAAAACGCTGTATTTATGCGTCAGACGAGCAGAAATAAATGAAAGGAAAATGTAAGCGTGCACGATTTGTGGCTTGTTAGATGCAAGCTCCTCCTCAGCAAGGTTTCTGTCCTGTCCAACAAGAACAAATATTTTTCACAAGGCCCTTTCACTGACAAAAATATGAGGGAGTTCAACCCGAGTGCCTAGCTGTCATCAGGAAGTTGGAGGGGCGATCATGATCGGCTGTCACGCTTCATCTCACATGACGTCTTAACCGTCGGCCTGCTACACGTAGGCTAAAGCAGCTCGAGATGTCAATCAAAGATTCGGGCGAAGGACGATGACCGAGTGTGAACTCACCAGGACTCTTCCGGTCAATGTCTGAGCGGATATCATGACCCCAGCCCAGTCTTTGACCGAGGTCATCCAGCCCACCTCGCTGGCCACTGGGTCGTCCTTGCTGGTGCGCTTGATGCCATCGACTATGGTGATCCGATGGACCTCCTGCAAAGAAAATGATGCAGAAGGTAACAGTGAAAAATCAGAAACTTTACAATAACTTTTTTTCACATTAAAAGTCAGTTTTGAAATTATCACTGATTGCTACGATAGCCTATCCATTATGCATCAACCTACAGTATTACCTAACAGCCCTTTTTCTGTGATGGTGGATCAATCCCAGGACAAATCCTCTAGCAGAGGAAAATATGTGATCCACTGCAATATCACTTTGTTGTAAGATAAATATTTTCCTACTCTTTCTCAACATATTTGTGGAAACCAAGCTGCTGTCCAACTAGCATCCAGGCCAGAGAGAGGGAACGACCGAGGGAGCGGATAGGTAGAGCCACTTGATGGTATTAGTGCTCAAGTTAAGGTCAGTTTTTAGTCATATTCTGTTGGTTGTGAAGTTTCGGGCCATAACATCAAAACTACGAGCTCAAAGGAGCTTTAACACCCGTAAAGCTGAGGGGGACTGCAGAGTTGGGTAATACTTCTCTGAGCTGCTTCCTAATAGTTTAAATAGCCACAGTGTTGGCACACAAAAGGGTTATTGTATAATTGTTTACCCTTATCCTTCTGATTGTTGACTAATTTCTAGCAATATAATCATAATTTTCTTATAAAAGAGTAATGATTAGTGCAGCTTTAACCTCCAAAATGCCCCATTATGTTAATATTTTTCTGTCCGAGTCTAGAAAAACTGTTAATGAAGCCTAAACAAGGAGCTGAAAGATGATTGTGGGTGATTATGACCTTTAACATTAAAAATCATCACTTCATTCATTGCTCAGATCGGCACCTACAGAAATCCAAACTTTGTTAAAAGAAAGTACCACCTACGTTTTCTTGTTTGATTGACAGCTATGCAAAAACGCAACATGGACGACTGCTCAACTTCTAGAAAACACCACTTTAAAATCATTTATGAACCATTCTAATTAGGGTGACCAGGCTCAAGGTTTCCAAAATAAACCCACGCACATGCATGCACACATGCATACAGAAAACATACAGAGTGAGAGCAGCAAAGAGACTCCAGGAGTGTATCCATGGCAGCCACTGAGCTCCTGGTGTTTCTGCTCCACTGAGTGGGCTGCCTGCCTGCCTGTCTCTCCACCTGTCTGTCTTTCCATCTGTCTGTCTGTCTGTCTGTCGGGACTGGCATGATTCACAGAGCAGGAAATCGAGACCGGATGCAGAGGTTAGCCATTCTCCCTGATGAAACACCCCACAGCCTCAAGGCTAACACAACTCAGACTCTTTACCCTGTGACATCCTACTCCTCCTCTACCGTAATGGTGTCACACATCCCTCTCTCTGGGCTTTTTCCTCCTGCAGCTCTGCTCGTCATGTGGGATTAGTTGATGCACTTTACTTAAAGGGGGAGAAAAATAACTGTTCACAGTTAAAAGTTACAGTTTATATGGTTTCCATTGTGGCGTGTGCATACTATTGCAGCAGTCTTTTTTGTTGTGGTGTTAATGTCTAATATCTCACATGCCACATTCTCCAGGATAGGACAGCCAGCTACAAAGAACTCCTGGCATGCAACATGTGTCACGTGTCGACGCCACCGTAAGTCTTGGTAAAGCTGGAGGGGGCGCAGCACCACTGACATAAGGGAATGAATGAATGACTATGGTCTGCAACATAAGGGGTAGAATGGGGTACACACGGTTAAGATGAGATGAGTTCTTAACCTGGCCCTCCAAATGGTTTTCTACATTGAACTTTGTCAGGCACCTTAAAAGAATACTTGGCAGGTGATTGGATAAATCATCCGTCAATCAAATTCTTTCTGAAGCAAGTTGGGAGAAGAGGAAAAACACCTTTTCCATCGATAAAAACCCTTCGTTGTCGTTCTTTGCTCTTCTTTCAATGAAGAAATACTCTGATATATGGTATGCTATTGCAGCATCTATGCTAGGACACAGGTTCCACTTAAAGTAAACTACAGTGCAATGGTTTGGCTCTTGTATGTGTTTTTAGCAAATTAGTCTCATGATATATATTTGACTTAATGCAGGACAGGTGACTATGACGCTAAAACCTGATATAACGTATTCCTCTGTGCCATAGAGCCTCCATTGTTGTCCAAAAACACATCAATGAGCCACACTGCTGCATTACGATGAGTCAATCCCACGTACAGCATCCTGCTGCTATCAATACTCTAAAAAGCACCAAATGTGTATGATAATACCCAACAAATACACAATTTACTTTGAGTAATGTTTGCTAAACAGCAGCAGACTTCTCCTTTAAAAGGTACAGTATTAAGAAAGGGATGATTCAACTTTAAAATGAAGTTCCTTAATCTAAAACTGACTTCAATAAAGTTTCAAAATCTTATCAAAAATAAAATTGAGAACTTGTCAGCAAGTAAGGAAGAGAGGCGTCATTAGCATTGTTGAGAGAAGGGTGCAAAGCTACAAATACAAAAATTGAGAGCTTGTTAAGACCCACACTGTACCATTTTTAGGCCATGTCCACACTACTACGTTTCCATTTTAAAATGCATGTCTTTTGCTGCGTTCACACTGAGCATCCACACTAGGACGGAGTTTTAGAGCACCGAAAACAGATAAGTGTAAAAACTCAAGTGTTCATTTTGAAGTAAATTTGATGCGTGTGTGAGAGAGATAGAGCAAGACCTGCAGCGTTGTAACTAAGTTTGAAAAATAATGCCTCTAAAACTTTCCACAAAATTTGTCTGTTTGAGTTTATAGAGGAAGATTTTAGAGGAAGATCTTAAGTATCAAGCACTACCTTTCATTATTAAAGTAGACTATAAAACTCGTATTTTCTGTAACAAAGCAACCAATCTGCTTCCTGTTTACACCTGCACCCGCATGCCCAGTGTACGTGAGAAGTCATGTGATATTTGTTTTCAGGCTTGCTAGTCTGGACGGAGATCATTTTGCGAATGATGCTGAAACACCCGTGTGGACGGAGATTTTTGTTTGAAAACCCCGGGTTTGAAGTAAAAAGTTTATTACAGTGGGAGACAAAATGACCACATCTCAGAAAATGAAGTATTATCACGTAGATATTTTACACTTTTTAATAAAAAAAAAACTGGTTTCAGCAGGGTATTCCATAATGGTGCCCACCCACACGCCACACATTTTAACCCGCTCCATCATTATTACGAAATAGCTGGCTGCACTAATTAATTCAATCATGTTCAGAGCCATTAGTCAGAGATAAGCAGGACCACCAGCAGCCCGTGTTACACTTCCTACAGCCTGTCCAGAGCCCTGCAGCACTAACCTGATAACAATATAATAACATGTCCAGCTCACTTAGTAGCTAATGCAGCCAACGAGACACAGGAACGGAAAACTCTGTGAAACCGCAATTTGGAAATGAGAGGCAACAGGTATCAGCTGTTTCTTGGCAATGTTTCCATTATCCATTTCAGAATTGCACTCTGAATAGTTTTCATTTGAGTGTAGCGTCTTTTGCTTTAATAAAATGGGTTAACGGGCACTTTTGCAGTAGTTATTTTACACGGTGATCCAAACCAATAAGACTTTCCAAAGCTACATCATTTATTTTGAGAAAAAAAAAAAATCTCATGAGGTAAGTCATGGAACAGAGGCTCTGGGGGAATTTCAGTTAAATCTCAGTTTTGAATCCCTTTAAGGAGATCAGGGTGAGTGGATCAGACTCCGGGTTAGAGATTCAAAGGGAAAAGAACATGTTGTGTGTCAGTCAGCAGCCTGTTGAATGAGTGTTAAACTGTTAAGGAACATAAAGCTACTGGAACATAAAGCTACAAGCAGTTCAGTCAAAGAGCTATAATCCCTTGACAGTCCCCAGAATATACTGACACCATACGCTGAACATGTCACAGCACCTATTTTTAATAAATGAAATTGAATAAAACGTAGAATAAAGTCACAAAATACAATACTGATAATGGTGAAATATTATTTAGGAATATTATATTGATACCCAAGCATGTTAAACTCAATGTAAAATCACTAAATATACGTTGTCTAATGTAGTGGGAATATTATACAGGGTCTATGATAATTAAGTATTAGTGCTAAGGATTTCCTATTTATTAATGTTGCAGTAAGTATTAATATGCGGTTCTGCTGAGTAATATATCGCATCCTCTGCTGCTTTCATGAAATATAGCTGGCTACAAATTGAGCATTATGCCCATGTAAGTCAGATTGGTTACATAAGCCACTTACTAATAAATAAAACTTAGCGGACACATTTCGTTATTCTCAGATGATGGAGCAAGTCTTTCTCCTCAGATGTATGTCAAGAGCTGGAAGTATTTGTTTATCTTGTAGGAAGTGTTGATGAGTACTCAGGCAACATTTAATATGGGGATTGTCTTTATTTAAAATGGACATTCCACCGATTTTACATGTTACAAAGTTCAGTTTACTGGTCACGGAGAGTAGGCTACTACTGAGCCTGTAAAGAACACCTTTATGACTGAAATGTTACTTTCTTCTTCTGTGGTTTTTTAGGAGCTCTCTTAAGTCAGATAAAATAACCCTGATGATGTCAGAGATATCATCAGGGTTATTGTGATTTAAGCTAGAAAGAAATCAAATATTTGACAGAAAATCTGCACCATGAATTGCAGCATATAGAGCAGAGGGGCACGAGTGAAAGACGCTATCCAGTTGCATTATGGGAAGTGTAGGATGTTTTTTGGCACTTGACCCATTAAAGGACTGAAAGTCAAGTAATCTCCGCCTCTCTTCCCCTTTCTTCTATCCTTATAAAATAAAGGCAAAAGCGAAAAATAGAAAAAAAATATTAAAGTTATCTCAGCCTCTGCTGCTTCAATTGTGACTTTTTTTTTATCTGTGTAATTTCTGCAAGTCCCACACAAACTTATGGAGTATTTTTTTAAGAAATACTTTCTTAAAAAAAAAGTAAGAATACAGGAGACATCTGAAGAGAGAGAGATGTTAGCTAGCGTTAGTCAATCTAATAACGAACAGTGCTTTATGGAATTTATTCAT